GGGAGGGGGCTGAGCAGAGGGGCAGAGACAAGCAGGGCAGAGAGCAGAGGGGCAGGCACCAGGGGGCAGAGTGGGGACAAGGGAGCAGGGCAGCACGGGGGGGAGAGTTGGTGTGGAGAAGGCAGGGCACAAGGGGGGCAGAGGAAAGTGAATAGAGGGGTGGGACCCAGAGGTTGGGAGGTGAGAAGGGGAGGGGAGGACACCAATGGGCTAGAGGAGGAGGGAAGGGAAGGAGCAAACATCTGGGGGCACAAAGGGGTCAAGGGCAGGGACTTGCACCAGGCTGGCAGATGGGAGAGGGGGGCCCAGGAGGCCAGGGGAGGGGAGCACAAAAGGGCTGGCACCAGTGGGGAAGGGAAGGAGCAAACATCTGGGGGCACAAAGGGGTCAAGGGCAGGGACTTGCACCAGGCTGGCAGATGGGAGAGGTGGGCCCAGGAGGCCAGGGGAGGGGAGCACAAAAGGGCTGGCACCAGTGGTTTGGGGACGGTGCAGGTGTCCGGAGGCAGGGAGGAGGGGAGGGGCAGAACTAAGGGGAAGGTGGAGGGGGGTAGGCAGGAGTGTGAGGCAAGGGGCAGTGTGAGGGAAGGGCTCATGCTGAGGCCTAGGTGGGGCAGATGCCTGGGGCTAGCGGGCACAAGGAGCAGGAGAAAGGGCAGGTGCCGGGGCTCAGGGGTGCAGTCTGGAGTGGGACAGGCCCCAGGGCCAACAAGGAGACAGCTATTGGAGGTTGAAGGGGGCAAGGGAAGGGAGGGCACCAGAGGGCAGGGGGAGGGGCAGGTGCCAGGAGACAGAAGGGGGAAGGGAGGGGCAGACAAAAGGAAAGGGGAGGGGAGGGAGGAGCGGGTGAAAGGGGGGGCATGAGGAAGGCAGGGGTGGGGCAAGTCACATGTGAGGTGGCAGAGGGGTGTGAGGAGAACCAGAGCAGAGGGCGGTATTGGGGGGCACAGAGAACGAGGCAGCAGGGGGCAGGCATTGGAGGGCAGTGAGGGAAGGGGGAGGCAGCAGGAGGCTGTGGGGAGGGGAAGGGGAAGGGCAGGTGCCAGGGAGATCGAGGGGGTGGAGCGTAAGGACGGACATAGGAAGAGGAGGGTAGACGCGGGACAGGCCGTCATTTCCCTCTCCCAGCCCCTTCCCTAGGGATCCTAGGAGGGGCAGGGCAGTGGAGGATGGGAGGGGGGTGCAACTGCAAACCAATGGGCTGTTGCCAATGAGGGTGGTACGGGGGAGGGGAGGGGCAATTTCCCACTTCCTGCCCCCTCCTCCTTGGAGAAGCTGCACTGGGGCCAGTCCCAGTTCACACCCACATGGCTGCACTGGGGGTTTGCACGGGGGCAGCTGCATCGGTGCAAGGGAACCCGGCTCCCTCAGACACTGCTGTGCCGGGGCCGCGCCCCTCCCCTCACTGAGTTATGGGTCAGTAACTGCAGGTCACTGGGGCTGAGGGCTGGACTCCCAGGCGGGGCTGCCCCACTGTGCTGCAGAGCCAGTCTCACCCCCACACTCTGCCCAGGGCCGTGTTTAGACCCGGGGAGCATCTGCAGCAGCAAAGACTGAGGGACCCCACGTCAGACCCCCAGAGCCCAGCAGTTCCAGCCCCCACCTGAGGGGGGGACCCACATTCCCATCCCTGCCCTGCCCCACACAGGGATGGGACCTGGGGCTCCCAGCTGGGTCCCCGCCCCTGGGCTACAGGCTGGACAGGGAGCGGGGGCGCCCCGGGCCT